TTTTTTCAGTAAATAAACTAAAAATTAAGACAATTACAATATTTAAAATAAAAATAAAATCTCATAAATATTATAAACAATGACTAGAATTTCATGTTTGGAAATATCGGTAAGGATTTAATTCTGGGTTTCGAAGTCCACGGAATTTAAATGCAAACCAAACAGATATTAACTGTAATAATGTTTTGAGAAAAATACTGAATTATTAATATTAACAATTAATGAATAAATTAATAATAAATATATCAATACTTAAAAACATCACAAAAAATAAGATAATATTTGAGAAAAGTAAGGAATTGTTAGTTTTGAAAATTGATTGCTTCGGGGATTAAATCATTTGATAACAGGAATCAGATTATGACTGAAGAGAACCGGACTATTAGTTCAAATGATTAGATCAGGTATTAAGACAAACAATTAGTATATTAAAGGAAAGCGCTGGGATCTGCGCGAGGATTTTTCTGGTTTCTATAGCGCACTGTTAGCCAAACACCGATAAACTATTAGTAGAGAATAAATTGACAGTTAATTTAGACTTATATTTAAATACAAAAATATTGAACATTTCTATAAGAGTTGACATTCAAGTGATGTATACCTCTGTAAAACTGAAGAACAATCCAACAAAGCCTGAGATCTCCAACGCATTAGCGATGGCTGTCTTGATCTTTGGCGCACAGACCTCGCAGTTCGCCCAACAGTTGGTTGGATCCATACAGCACTTGACCTGTCATTGCAATGGACAGACAGACACATAATTATTGAGACAATGCGACAATTAGTCATTGAACGAGTCATACGTTGGGACAATCAGTGCTATTAAGAGTGACGGCTTTGGATGTCTTCTCATAACCGCAACAATTGAAGAAGGATTGGGCGCTCTGTTGGTCGTGTTTGGAGGCTGTGTTCCAGCCCTTGGCGGCCACTCGTGACTGCTGTTCACTACCGAATGCCAGACACGCGCAGGCGATACTGAATTGTACCACAAATAGGATAAACAATATGACCATATACTGCCATATATCACACAAATACAACAAACATTAATATCAAATATTCTGTCATTTTAATTGTCAATTACTAACGAAAAATAGGAGAACTTGATGGTGCTTTCGGGCGCCTACCAGTCCTACCAGTGACAGTAGGAATAGGAATACCCCACACACTATGATACCACCAATGATGGCAATACTGGTCACTTTGCTGGCAGCCATGCCATAGGCAGCCACACCGATCAGTATGGATGAGACCAACTACAGTATAAATAATAATTATATTAAGTTACATTTAATTTTGTCATTTAATTACAATTGTGATTAAACTTACAATGTATAATATATTAAGTGCTATGAGCGCATTTTTAGTACACGTAAATCCCCCGCACATTTTGATTAAATTTTGTTCAGTAAAATAATTTCAATTCAAAAAATATCATTTAAATTAAGTGTATTAACAGAATCTCAAATAAGCAAGTTAATTTAGTCGATTGAACACAACTATTCACAACAATTCCACAGTTCTATGATTTACAATAAACTTGGGATTAAAATGTCTAAATATAATTGATTGAACAGATGTTTATGTTGATGGAAACATAAAAAAGACTAACTCTACAAGAAGTGGAACCAATTCAGTGACAGCTGTTTATAACAGTCTATTATTATAACTTCACAGCGTTTCGTACGATCGCTGTATTCACAGTTTGTGATGTCTTTTTGAAGTTCACTCGTGTAGAGTATCTATGGATCTATGGATATATGGATGAATGGGTGGAGTAAAAGGACTCAGAGCCACAACAAGACACTCGCAGACACTCTCAGTTGTATCGATTGTCTTCACATGCCATGCCTGTAGTGAATATGTTGTCAATTCATTGAATGCAATGTTTTTGTGCTAACTTTTCCATGTTTTCGATGTTGTAATGGAAAAAAGGAAGAGGAATACCATATGGGAAGGCATTAGACCCATGGGTTGGCTTTCGCTAATCAATGCTAATGTTAACAGTGATCAGAGGTATCATAGAGGGATGGGTAGGCAAGGGAAGGGCAGGACTTTAACTATAGATTTGCGAGCAAATTTTCTTTGCATTCATTTTTAAAACATTTTATTTGAGATCATTATTCTTAGACAATATCTGATGGCTTAAAGTACATGAATACATGACACAGACATACAGTTAATCGCCGAACCATTTGTTTACATAATGTATCTCAACGTTCGCTCTAAACGCTAATACATTGAATGAAATGAAATTTAATAAAATGTGTCAAAACCTCGTATTTCATATGAACTGCATTTCAGTGAATCACTGGTAAAGTGAGGCGTATTTTAAGTCACTATTAACTGATATGCACTCAAATCATCGCTACATTCAGTTCATTGCATTTTGTCTAATAATTTAGTTTTTCACTCAAACTTATCTGAATTTTCTTAAATTCATTCATTTATGCAATCAATTATGGGTGCGTTTAGTATAGTTTGTTGTGAACGGTGTTCAATTATATTCAAACTGACCCTGTCCATTGTGGGCACTCTGTCTGGACTGTCAATATTCCTAATATTCCTCTTCCAGTACCATAACTATAACGCTTCCGTCTGGGGATTCATTTCTGGTATGATTTCCATACAATTATTCAGTGATTGTATTATTCAGTAATTATTTGAATTATTAAATTGCAATCAAAAATTGAATTCATTTTCAGGTATTTTCTCGTTTTGTGTCTTTCATCTGAATTATCTCTATCTGAAGAACAAAATCGATGAATGGTATGAACCTCGAGCACTCGAGAATCTCAAACTCATGGGTCTTATGATCGGTTTGGTGTCAATCGTGGCCTTTGGTGTCTATCTCTCACTATTCATAACCAGAAAACAAGGTTTTGTCACATTATTATTGATTTGCATATCGATTCACTCATTGATTGATTGATCCATCATTGCAGAGATGTTTCACATGAATGACTTCAGTTACTTCCCGTGCATTATATTCTCGGTTCTGTCCATGAAATCGGGATTTTTGCTCTTTTCGACGGCCAGACATTACAAGAAATATGTCATTCTATGTAATCCTCAGTTCATATACGATATTAGGAAACAAAACGATTCCGAACACGAATTCCAACATTAGTTTTGGGAAACCTAACGATCACTTAGAGTTAACTTAACCGTACTTTTATGGCAAACAGTCATATATTAAGACAATTATTCCATTTTTGATACAAAGGTTTCATTGTTTAAAGATTGTGACAAAACTATATACAGAATTTATGATATAAAATTCATACTGCTAGTTTAACATACATGAACAAAACAAACCACAAATTATAATCTCAATGTTTGCTCAAATGATTGCATAGATTTACATTTGACTGAATTTTGTAATTAAAATTTGATTAACAGAACAAATAGTTTTATAAAATGAACTCTAAATGACATTTTAAAGTATCCAAATAATTATGAACAAATAATTTTGTTTTTTATTATGTTATCAATAATTTTAATATTTTATTTTCTATTTGAGTAATATATTTACTTTATATATTATTAAATTGCTTGTGTGTGTGATATTAGTTTTAGGTTTATTATATGTTTTATTTGTTATTAATTTGTTTTACATATGAGTCATTATAAAAATTAAAACTTAAATATAACTGTTTTAGATTATAATTAACTAATTTAAAGTACAAATAAAAGTTTATAATTTCATAAGAAATGTGTTCAATCTAATTTATTTATAAATATTACGTTAATTTAATAGTATATAAAGTTAGATGATAAGTCGACATGATCAAGGTACGAGTTTGTGAACTGTATTGGTCATGCCAAATGACCAAGTTCATATCGTGTTCACTGAACTGTAATACTTAGTGCTCGTAATTGATGTGTTGAGAAATGCACGCATTTTTTGTAATGAAAACATAGCGTGAAATGCGTGGCATTTAACCATTGATTCAGTGATTCATTCATTAAATCCAATCTCGCATTCAATTGAATGCAGTGAACGGACAGTGCATTCAGTGCTCGCATACCATGAGTGACACTAACCTTCCCATTGATATTCACACCAATAAACTGTTGGGTAATATAAACACTGATCATATGTTTGTCATTCATTATCTCATAATTGATCACAAATTGGTCTCAATGGACACAAAGACTGGTTAATAAGTCGTCGCCATTGCAACAAAGAATGGCAGCACTTATTGTCGGACATCCGCACCAAAATCAAGTCCGCCATCCAAGACATGCCTCCAAACACGGACATCTCTCAGCTCTTGTCCGGCAATTGTGAGACATTTAAACAGATTTTTATTACAATTATAGTAATAACTGATTTGATGGCAGACATCGAGTACTCGGTGTGTCTGAAGATTGTGGACATTTTGGCCGAAACCGAAGTGAACTCCAAAAACATTTTCGGTTATTATTCCTCTCAGAGAATGAAAGACTGGAAGGAAATCATTAAACTCTATGAGAAGGACAGCATTTATTTAGGTTTGCATTCACGCGTTGGCTGTGATTGTCCTTTTGAACCATTCATTCGTGTCTTAACAGCCGATTGGGCGCAGAGTCTGATCCGGAACGTCAACTATGAGGTGCCGTCCCTTAAGAAGCAACTCATGAAATGTCAGCAAACGGTGGACGAGAGCGAGAGGAGAGCCGAAGAGTGTCTCAAACAAAGCGCTGCTTATAAACAGGACTACACGTCGGCCGCCAATAATCTGGGAATAACTGTGAGTCTGTTATCCATAAGTTGTCGACTCCTATATAACTTGTAATTTAAATGCTTTTTAAGGGCCAAGACATCCGAGAAGAGCTGATGTCTCAACTCAACAATTTGCCCAAAAAATTGGATCAAATCTTTGGCGACATTTCACAACTTTCTCTCATTAGAGACTATTATAAAACATTCCTTACATTCACTCTTAAAAAGTAAGCATTTATTTATGAATTCTGTTGACTCTAACATTATTATTGACTTAATTTGATTGTTTTTAATATTTAATTAGAGATAAAGTGGATTGTCTGCCAGTATTGTGTTATTTACTGGAGAAGGGAAACACCACTTATTTTGAGTATCGGACGGGTGTTGTGCCGGAATTGATCGAAGAATTCAAGTCAACCGTTTGTTTTAGTGATGAAAACGTTAGCCGACAGGCTTCTGATGTCGGCAACGATAATGTCAGTCATTTAGCTGTTTTAATGACATGTCTTGTTATTTACTACAACTTCTGACTACATTTAGATTGATTTCGGCGATGGAATAGATTTTGGTGACGACACGGCCAGCACTGAGACCCCTTCCACTGGAAATGGAGATTTTGTTCACATTGAACAGGTAAGACATGAACATAAAGTTTTGCCAACAGTTGGTCATTAATTTTAAAAATATAATTTAAGGACGACTTATCTCAGGAGCAAATAGATTATGGCAGTGAAGGTGAAGCCATCAATTGGGACATCACTAGTGCTTCAAATGGTGATGAGATCAAAGGGATGGACATCACTATAACCGGCAATATAGCGAAGGGAGAGGACGCACAGTCAGTCCTATTGAACACGACCTCAAGGAATGAGTTGATGAACGAACTCATAGAAGTGAGAATATATTCTTCATAATGTTTAGTCATTTATTTATAACTGCATTCACTCTACAGATCGAAGGCTTTCTCGATCAGAGGTTATATGAATTGCGTTCCGATGAAGACATTGTGTCCTCCAATCAGTTCCAAAGCGCGCCTCCATTATTGCAATTGACAACTCCTGATGGCGTGACAGCGATGTTAGCATTGGTTAAGAAATTGTTAACCGCTCTGACGGCTCCCAAAATGAAAGTTCTTTATTATATGAAAGACAGTTCTAAGTAAGAGTTTGTTTATATGGTTTAAGATGCTCACATTAATGTGTGAATACTGTATATCTTGATCAGATATATAGAGAATGTGTCGGAAAAGCTTAAGCACATTGAATCCCTTTCCGAGAGGTCTCAGAATCGGTCGAAACTGTTTGAAAGCAAACGAATTGCTGCCATCGAAGAGATGAGAATAATTGAGCCTAAAATTCCTGTTCTTATCGACCAAACGAAAGCACTTCAAAGAAAGGTAAGTGTTTTGTTCATTTGGTTCAAATCTCTTTAATTGAATACAATTAATATTACCGTAAGATTGAAAGCGATATCTCAAAGCGCTATAAGAATAGAGTGGTTAACATAATGGGTGGCATTCAAGTCCTCTGAAGCACTGAATTCATTATTGTCTAAAATTTGTATTAATTTTCATAAAACTTTATATAAAGTATTTTATGGTTTATATTTTAATAATTTATACACAAAAAACAAAAGTGGTTTTATTTTCAATAAAGTCTTTATTACAAAACGATATAATTTCAATATTTTACAGCTTTGGTAGGATTTGTCATTACAAGAGCTATAGAATTAATGTACAAAACTTAATACTAATGCTGAATTGTGCTGTTTATGAGTGTATTGTTTGTGCGTTTGCTTGCAATCTGTTTAAAAGATGTATTTCTGGTATTATATAAATTATTAAATATTGAAAATAATAGCAAAATATCAAAACATTTATTAAACTCTTGCGAAACGATTAAACAAAATATGGTATTTAGCCGACGATTATGTTTTGTATGGCAATGATTGGTGAAGACTGACAGATAGGTTTCTCGATTGGACAGGGGTTACGGCTCAAACATTTGGCAAATCTTCGATCACATTCACACAATTGATACGAACACTTCTCAGTTATGCCCCCAAACGGAACTACACCTGAATTCCAATATATTATTATTTAAGTCAATATCGTCCCAATCGGTGTAGAGATGGTTTGCATTAAGTAATAATATTTCGTATTTGAAGTGAATAAAAATTGTTAGCACATACCACAGCGGGCATAACCGGGGGTAATACATGACCACTGGTAGGGCACGAAGTATATCAATATTTGCGGACACGAGGCCATTGTGTAGCACCAGTCGTGTTGAAGACAGCAACTTAATGAAGCAAAAGCACAATCGTTGACAACAATGTTCACAGAATATGATAACACTTTCTAAGGGTATTTACTTATCAATCATATCGACTGGTCTTCCGGCGCCTAAATAACCGCAATAACAACCATAGCTTTTATAACTCAGGGGATCACATCCTGGAACACCATTTGGTAACTTAAGTACATTAGATCTACAAGTGGTGGCTATGTTATGGTGATACCTGAGACACATCTGATCATTCCGGCCAATTGGATGATACTCCTCTTGGCCCGACTCTTCACTCGTGTTGACCCAATCCTCCCAATCCTCGCAACTCTTGTATCCGATTCACTGCTTAGGGATTCGTTCGCATAATTAGTTCCTAATGTTGTTGTCGTTGACTCTATTCTGTTGTCTTGTGTTTTGGGATCACTTAAAGTTGTCTTCGATGTCGTTGTCGTGCCTTTCGATGAGACAATAATTGATAGTTATTCGCGTCACAAATGAAGTGAATATAAGTTATAATGAAAGCAATAATTACCTGTTATTACAACTATTAGTAAACTATATATTAGACAACATTGAGTTGAATTATAACAAATTGCAGGTTTACTTCGCATAATCCCATTTAGGATCGATTCTAATACCAGTTTCGTTATAAGATTGACATTATTTGCGATGATTTATATCTAAACATTTGTTCAGATTTATAGTTTTATTTATTAGTTACTAGTTGTCCAGATTCTTAATTATTCCTAAAACAAGGCTTTACGAGAAATATTGAGAAATTCTTTGCAAACAAATAGTGAACAAAATTTACAAAAGAATTACAAAAACTGTTGAGAAAATGTAATTCATTTCACAGCGATATATAAGTGATTATAATATTCTAAATATAATACAACGTGAAAAAAGTTTTCCAAAACTATTTCTAAACAACAATAATAACAATAAGAGATGAAAAATAAGATTTGGTCTGAAAGCAAATCTACTGCAGATGTGGTCTGAATGACATACAAATCGCTAGTGAAGTGATGTCTTGGATTATAACTGCATTTTCTGGTTTGGCTTTTGCTTCGGAGCCGAAAGAAAGCAATCGTTCAGTTAGAGAGCCGTTCGTTAAGGTTGGCCTACTTTGCACTCAAACATCTCACAATAGAACCGGGCGTTCAAACTATTTCGTGATGTACTCATTCACTGCTAAAGTTTTGTTTTCAAACTTTAATTGGCTTTTCTTGTCTTGAAATCAAAAAATTTGTTCACATTTTCTCGCATTCTTCGAGAGTCCGACAATTGCCACAAAAGGCATTCATATCGCAATGTGTGATGTTTTCAGCGCTTATGGTATTAATATCACTGACTCTCATACACGCGAACACTTAATCAACGGTTCTCTGACTTCTTAATACCTCATTTACACCTCTTATCATATCTACTATTATCACAGTTTTTAATTCATTTTTTTCCACCATTTCTAACCACAACAATTCAATAATTATTATTTAATAATAAGTAAGAAAAGTATTGTTTTTAGACTTTCGTATCATATACTGTAGTAACTGCACAGTACTTAACTTATTATAACTGTTTAATCGTTATTTCAATGCAAGACCATAGAAACACCACATGATTGGCATCTTATTTATCATTGCATTTAATTTTAGACTAAATTTCTCTCTATAAATGTATTTTAAATTTGGTTTAAACTCTTGTTCCCGATTATTAGAGATTACGGCAATAAGCGAACGGTGCAAACGGCACAGCATGTGTTGAGTGAAGAGTTTTTATTCACTTTTACTACAGTTCCCATCACTTCACCCATTATTGTGTCGATTATAACTCATTCACTCCTAAATACTCCTATTTTCCACTTTCTTTATTAACTTATTTTTATTATACCTTAATTTTGAATTGAAATCTTTTTTCATATCTCTATTATTTAGGATTTTAATTGAAAAACTTTTTTTTCATTGATGTATTTTGGCATAAAAAATAGCTTTCATTTAAGTTTCCGTATTCGCATTCATAACACATTACACAACACTAACACAAATCAAATGGAATTTTATTATTATATTTATTATTGTATTTTTCGGAGTTATTTTATAATATGTTTGACAAACTTGTAATTTCATGGATTGCAAAATAAGTGGAACACTATTTTAGACGAAAATATCGTATAAAACTGAAAATTTCTAGTTTATATCAATTTTATTAACTTATCTCAATTAAATTCACTTAAATTCATAATTATTTTATTCTAAAACTAACGATATAAATTTTACTACTAAATTTGTAATACTAATGTAATCATTGGACATTTAATAATAATTACAACTTTTATTTTTCACTAATTTCACTAAACAAAAGATTTTAAAATATTATATAATAAATTTAATAAACAACACACAACTTTTATTAATGGCATTAAAATATTTACGATTATCTTAAAAATAATGCAAAAGCCCAAATACTAGTAAATGTACAGGAATTGTTTTAATTTATTATTACAGGGGAATGTGTGCACTAAAAAAGCTCATGTATTCACTATATTTATAAAAATATAAATAATAAAACTTATTAATAATAAACTAATTCTTTGAAAGTAAATAAAAAGAAAATAAGATTTATATAAATACTAAATACTATAAGAATACGTTTGCATT